CACTATACATTCATCTAATCAACAATCGCAGAATACAGTCCACTGTCATTTTAATAACACTATCGATGATGAATACTTACAACAAAAACTTACCAAGTTCTTTGAACTTGAAACTATACAGACTCACACTTCATTGTCTAAGGAAGAGCAATTGTGTGAACAAATCTTTATGGAAACGACTTCACGTCAAAAGGACGGTCGTTTTATTGTAAACATTCCATTAAAAGCAACACAAAAATCATTAGGTAATTAATACAATATCGCTTTATCACGATTTCTGTCTTTAGAACGCAGATTTCAACGAGATTCAATATTCAAATCTTTATATACAGAATTCATGAAGGAATACATTGAATTAGGACACATGACCGAAAATACACATTCACACAAAGATACAAACGCGTACATATTACCACATCATGGGGTAATGCGCGACACAAGCCTTACTACTAAGTTACGTGTAGTTTTCAACGCGTCTGCAGTGACGACCTCTGGCTTATCCTTTAATGACATTCAGTTAGTTGGCCCAACGGTACAAGATGATCTCATAAGCATATTAATTAGATTTCGCCAACATAAATACGTTGTCACTGCGGATGTCGAGAAGATGTACCGTATGATTAATGTCACTGAAAGTCAACGAACATTGCAACAAATACTGTGGCGTTTTGAGCCAACAGATGAGTTAAAACAATATAAACTCAATACGGTAACATACGGTACAGCTTCTGCACCTTACCTGGCTACGAGATGCATTAAACAATTAGCGAACGAATGTTCAGACAAGTCTGTAGCTGTTGTCATTAATCACGACTTTTATGTCGATGACATGATCACAGGTGCAGACTCGGAAACACAACTCGTAACCAACTGTAAGGGTGTAAAACAACAGTTAGAAAAAGGTCAGTTTCACCTACGAAAATGGAATTCCAATAATCCATTAATCATTAATCAAATCGTCGGTGAAACCGGCAATGACTCATTACTTAATATAACTAAAAATGAATCCTCTAAAACTTTAGGATTACTTTGGGGTTGCAAGGATGATGTGCTTATATTTTCATTCAATATAACACAACCTAAACAGATTACAAAACGTACTGTTCTGTCCCTAATTTCACAAATCTTCGACCCATTAGGTTTAATAAATCCTTGTGTGTTAGAAGCTAAAATAATTTTACAGAAATTATGGGCATCAAAATTATCATGGGATGAAGATATACCTGATAAAATCAAATCAAATTGGCTAGTAATCATAAATAACTTGTTCCATATAAGCAATATTAAAATTCCTAGACACGTTATCTGCCATAATCCAAAAACAATAGAAATACATGCATTCAGTGACGCATCTTTACATGCCTATAGCGCATGTATTTATGTCAGATCCATAACTCAAAATAAAGTAATTTCTGTTCATTTGTTGACAGCAAAAAGCAGAGTTTCACCCTTAAAACCGATGACTACGCCCCGCTTAGAGTTGTGCGGTGCTCTTCTCTCTGCGCGGCTTGCAGAGAAGGTTAAATTATCTCTTCGGTTACATATATCTAGTTGTATATATTGGTGTGATTCTACAATTGTTTTGAGCTGGTTAAAATCCGATAAAAATCAATTGTTTAAACCATTCGTTAATAACCGAGTAAGCGAAATAACAGAAATTTCAAACCCATGCAATTGGAATTACATCCCCACAAATTTAAACCCAGCTGACATAGGGTCACGTGGTTTAGATGCTGTACAACTGCAACGTTGCGATCTGTGGTGGTCCGGGCCTTCATTCTTGCGTAATGACGAGTCCACATGGCCTACACAGCCTACACAAATACATGAACACGACTTACCTGAAACTAAGATTCAATGTCATGTCAATACATCATTATCACAGTTTTCTTCCTTTATACAACGATTTTCTGATTTCTGTAAATTACAACGTGTTACAGCATACATTTTAAGATTCATTCATAATTGCAAACATACTCATACAAAACAAATAGGTTATTTACAAATACATGAACTTAGAAACGCTCATAATGTGTTGTGTAAAATTGCACAATATGAGTCATTTAAATTTGAATACGATATCTTAAACAAAAATAAACCATTACCAAGTAAAAATAAATTATTACATTTAAATCCTTTTTTACACACAGATGGTTTGATTCGCGTGGGAGGCAGACTATTAAACTCATACTATAGTTATGACACCAAACATCCTATCATGCTACATGCATCACATCACATCACTCACCTAATATTCCGTCACTATCATAAAACCTTAATTCATGCCGGTCCACAGTTACTCACAGCAAGCACACGTCATAAATATTGGACGATAGGCGCACGTAATCTATCTAGAAAAATAGTACACAATTGTATTACATGTTGTAGGTTTTCAGGTCGTAGCATACAACCTATAATGGGGAATTTGCCTGAACAACGCTTACATGCAGACTATCCATTCATTAACACAATAGTTGACTATGCCGGTCCAGTCCTGATAGTGAATCGAAAGGGTAGAGGATGTAAATTAGTTAAATCATATATATGTATATTTGTATGCTTGGCAGTCAAAGCGGTGCACATAGAACTAGTAACCGATCTATCTAAAGATGCATTTATTGCTGCACTGAACCGTTTCATCGGTCGCAGGGGCAAACCCGTCAATATATTTTCAGATAACGGAACGTGTTTCGTAGGTGCATGTAATGAACTAAATAAATTTCTAAAACATAATTCTAATTATATTAGTTCTCACTTTGCAAATTCTATGATAAATTTCAAATTTTCCCCAGCATACAGTCCCCACTTCAATGGGTTAGTTGAAAGTACAGTTAAGGCCGTAAAATACCATTTAAAGAGAATAGTTTCCTTTGCACATTTGTCATATGAAGAAATTAATACATTATTAATACAGATTGAAGCTATCTTAAACTCTAGGCCTCTCACTCCTATCTCCTCAGATCCCTCCGATCTCGAAGCCATCACTCCTTCTCACTTTCTTATCGGACGTACACTCACTCTGTTGCCTTCTCCACAGGTCTCGATAACTGACCCTGCTAAGATATGCACACTTTCACGTTATGTGAGAATACAAGAGCTGAAGGCTCATTTTTGGAATAGATTTTATAAAGAATATATTTCAGAACTGCAGACCAGACACAAGTGGAAGCGTGCTAACGGACGACTGAGTATAGGTGAAATGGTACTAATCAAAGATGACCGTTTGCCACCAAGTCGCTGGTTACTCGGACGAGTGACCACTCTTTATCCTGGCTCAGATGGCGTCACCCGTGTTGCTGATGTACGTACTGCTACAGGAACTCTTCGACGAGCATTCAACAGACTGTGTCCGCTACCAATACTACCACACCCAGTGCCAACGGGCGGAACCCAAGATGTTTCTTCTTCTTTGTGTACTGATGAGCGAGAACCCTAACGTTCCTGGGGCGGAAACATGTTAACGCTTCGTATTGATGTTCACACAAATACATCCAGCGTGCCTACTGCACCCAACTACGGCAGTGCGTTTGAAATCGTCACACCGTCCAGTCATTATTTTTGTATATTTTTTATTAACTCAATAGCGAAATCATTTTAAGACATATAGCATTTTTATTTAAAATACAAGCAAAAGTAGCATCTAACTGTTTACAAACATTGATAATAATAGGTCCTTGGAATTATAACTATGTGTAAATTATAAACACAGAATTGCATCCAAATTGGTGCAGTCCTTTAGGTGGAATTAAGTGATACAACAGGTGTAAAAAAAGTATATATAATATATATATTCTGATATATGTATTAAACTATTTGTTTTTATGATATAAAAGCAAATATTTTTAGGTTGACTTTTTAGTGCCTATAAATAAAATATTTACAAATAAAACTATCACAGACAAACTCACACAGCGCCATCTAGTCCCAACCTAAGTAGAGCTTGTGTTATGGATATTAGACAACTATATAGCTACATACATATATTTCTTGTAAATACATAGAAAACACTCAGACCGATAAAAACAATCGTATTCATGAATACAAATGTTTGTACCGAGCGAGGAATAGAACATGCGACCGTCGGAAGTAAAGCCATCTCTAAACCGCTAGCTTACCAAGGCCATCAATAATATAAACTAGCTGTATCCACGATTTCACTCTCATGAAATTATTCTGTTGTATAATGTATGCCTATGTGTTATTCTGGTGTATAGTGTTGTAACTGGCTAATCAGATATGTATTTTATATTATAAATTTGTATTTGAATTTATAGTTCTTTTATATAACATTCTTGTTTTTGATACTTCAATTTCTTTTTCCTTCTTGTTCCATTGTCAGTAGTCTATATTAACATATATTTTTCTCCGTTTACCTAGTCTTTTTTCTTACTACATGAATAAACTGCAACATATAGGCATATAGGATATTTCAAAAAACAGCAATATTCATAATATTAATACTAGATTTAAAGACAAACTTGCTGTCCCCAAGTATCGATTAGAAAAAGTCAATAGGTCTTTTATGGGAATAGGTATAAATATTTACAATAAGATACCAAAGAATATACTGGAATTACCCTTAAATAAATTCAAACCATCTGTTAAATCATATTTACTGAGCAAGGCCTATTATTCACTAAACGATTACTTGAATGACGAGCGTGCATGGCAATAGTTTTCATGTTCGGGATTTTCATTTAATGTTAGACATAGAAACCTATACATGGCTTATAAAAAAAAAGTAATTCAATTGAGTTTCTTGCCAGTTCCTCTCAATTGGATCTATATACCGAACTGGACGGTAGGGAAAAAAAATTATAATGTAAAAACTTGACGTTCATAAGCGGCTAAAAGTCCTACATGAATAAATGATTTTTGAATTTGAATTTGAATATATACTATTGTAGTTTTTTTTTAATATTCAGTATGATTGAAAGAGTAACAAACATCCATCCATCTATCCACTTAACTATCACAAAACTTCCATGTCTATAATATTAGTAAGTTTTAGACAGCATCAGGAGTTTCCACACAACTGAGCAATTTGAAGTCCCTTCCAAATATTTCGCCGTCGCCCAGTGTCTGCGGCAGTGGCTGGTTCAATGTTTCAGGTAACAACAATGAAGTGACGCCTCCCATGACGCTCAGTATGCCCATTAAAATAAGCGGTAGGGCCTTCGTGTAAATGGACTGAAAGATAACAAAAAAATTAATTTAAAAACTATACCTTCAACAAGTTTATAATTAAATAATTCACTAGCTGCTCCCGCGATTACGCCCGGCGTGGATTTAAATTTTATTTTTCTAAAATAAAAGTAGCCTAAGTTACTCCTTATTACATCAGCTACCTACAAAAAAATAGTCCAGCCATTTCAGAGATTAGTCGGAACAAACTAACAAAAATTGTAAAAAGTGTCATTTTGGTATATGTACCGTATTTATATTTATTTGCATGTAGTAAAAAACGGTTATTACAATATTACAAACAGACACTCCAATTTTATTTATATGAATAGATTTATTCAATCAAAGCAATAATATATAAATTTACATAAGAATTGGCCTTTGGCCATCACTTATACAAATATGAAGAAGTTTAAATGTAGACTAGGCTGTACGGTCTAAGAATCTTTGCCTGTCATTTAAAAAGAGATGGAATTATGGAAATAATAATATAGGGAAGGCACAATTTAAACCTATACAGCTGTTGATTACCGTCTACCAACATCACAGCATAGTATTGTCAACTGGATCTTGAGCCTCAACAATTAACTTATCAACAATCATGTTGCTTCCCGTAGCGGTGGTCAGGTTTCGTACTGATATGTGGTCTCACACATGCCAACAGTAGCGGAATTAAACAAAATAATACAGATATATTAGCTGCTATTACACCTACGCTCCTTCACGCGTGATATGCTATTTTCTATCAGTCATCCAGTACCCATAACACAAGGTCTGCTTAGCGTGGGCCTAGGTGGCGCTGTGTGAATTGTCCTGAGAGCACTATTATTATTTAATCATCAATATTTATTTAAAAGAGCAACACACAAGTTTCTTGCTTATTCTTCTTGTGATGAATCTGCATTCCGAATAAGCGGTAGAATAAAAAAAACTTGACTATTCAAAAGTGCTTATATTAAGTTTATTTGAATAAAGATTATTTCTATTTCTAAAAATATTCTCACCAAATACACTATGTATGGACAGGCCAGCAATCCCAGGCCTGCTATAAAAGACGCAGCTCCCATCGCTTGTGACCTTAATACTGTCGGTAGAAGCTCCCCTATTTGTACGTAAAAAACAGCGAACGAGGCCGCTATACACAGACGTCCTAACATTGCAAGCGTTACTGTTATCCAAGGCCAGGCTGGAAAGTAAAAGAAAAAATATATACTTTATTGCACCAAATAGAATAAATTTGTAAATAATAGCTCACACAAAACGAATAAAGAATTTATCAAGAAATGTACATCAAAATCAAATGAAATCACAAATCTTTTATTCAAGGAGGACATTTTAGTCACTTATGAACTTCAAATTTTTTGGAATAATATGTTTTCCCCATCCGTCTAGTTCAGTACGCAGATTCGATTGAGAAGAACTGGCAAGAAACTTAATTGATTTTTTTAAAGCTAGTTTTTTACAATGTGTACTTATATATGTGTCTATATCTAACATTAAATGAAATTCCGTGCATGAACAACTATTGTCATGCACAATGAAGTATAGTTACAACATCCTTACTTATATTATAAATGTTAATGCTGTATATTTGTCGCGCTCTCACTCCAAAACTACTGAACTGATTTAAATGAAATTTAGTATACAAATAGCCTAGTATCTGTGAAAGGACATAAACTACTTTTTAATGCAAAGGGTTTACAGAGGAGGTGCAAGTTTGTATAGAAATATAGCCATTTTTGAAGTTAGTAGATTGAAACTTATATTTTAGGCTATTGATTAAATATAAATAAACATTTTTGGGTTTGCTTACTAAATACTTTTCCTTTATTTAGTCAAAGTATGTAATATTATGTTATCTGTGGTCAAAGTGACTATTCCACGCGGACGAAGTCGCGGGCACAGCTATTATAAATGTATATATATATCTATTTAAAATTATCTCATGCCAATTGGTTAATCCAGCTACCGGGCGGCTAAGTCGAATTTAGTTACGTGAAAATGTGTAATAGAATGGTGCACCCGCCTGCGCTAACGGTTTACGCTGGCGGGGCACCAGTGGAGGATGATAAGATGAGGTCAACTCAGTCAGCATATCGTCATAAATTCATCAAGACCTTAACACGATAGTTTTCAGGTGGCAACAGTCCATTTTACTAACAATTCCCTTCCCCCAAGTATAAATTGGTTATATAATATCGGTGAAAAGCCAGTTAATAATAAAATTATTATTAATTAATAACCTTCTGGTACTAATCCACAGCTGAGACAGGCCACGCCGCCTATACTCATAAAGATACAGAGGACCCATCGTCGACCAAATCGTTCCATACAGACCCAGGCAATGATATACGATGGCAATTCTACAGCTCCACCTGAAATTAAAAAAAATAACATTCAGAATTCTTAATAATCATCATTATTATTACTTTGTATAAAACAAAGTCGCTGTCGCTGTTTATCCCTATGTATGCTTAAATCTTTAAAACTACGCAACGGATTTTGTAGCGAATATATTTTAATAGATAGAGTGATTCTAGAGAAAGGTTTATATATATGATACATGTACACTCGTGTGAAGCCGGTCGAATAGCTAATCTATACATATAAACAAAATTGGAGTGTCTGTTTGTAATATTGAAATAACTGTTTTTTACTGGAGGCCTAAGGGAACCCTGCAGTTCGGATTTTTTTTACAAAAGAGTACCATGTAATCTGGCAGATTCTGTAATATGCATACATACATATATAACATAGAATCGTATCACTGGATACAGATCCAGTGATATATATGTATGTATGTATATGCACTCTCTTAAGTACCTCTAAGTACAAATCTTACTTCATTATGTATGTCAACTACTAAAAGATTCGTTACGATTTAGGCGGTCTAAAATATCACATTTTTCTTTAATTGTTGTGTTTTGTGCTTTCGCTTCTGAGCTGATACTTATACGTGTGAATAAACAGTAAACAATATACACATGCTATACTGCACCGCTATCTTCATCACATGTAAGTAGTGAAATTCAAACTAAGCAATCATAATCAAAACAATACGCTACGTGTCGAGTACAACAGTGATACGTACATGTTCAAACTTGTTCAGTCATGTATTAGCGAAGATTGTCAAAAAAATATTCAATAATAAATAATAGACCATGTAGGATTACAAGGGGGGCCGGATTACCGCGGGTCCACTGATGGTTAGTTCTTACAATTATGTAGGTCGTGAGCTTGTTTGCCATTCCATTCAAAAATCCTGTCTATAAATAACCAAATGAGATTTTTTGTTATATAGATATTGACGGTCTAGGGGTGATCTGCCGATTGAGCACACCGCCTTACTTTCTGATGGTCGAGGTTCTTTTTATGGATGATTAAAGAATGATGCACCCGCCTGTGCCAACAGTATACGCTGGCACCAGTGGAGGACGATAAGATAAACATAAGGTCAGGTCAGTTGATCTATCGTGTTAAATTCACCAGGAATTTATAACTATAGTTTCCAAGGGAAACCGCATGGAGGTCAACCTAACTTGGTATATTGCTATGGTTGAGGGTTTGATTGTTTGTATAGGTCTGTGTGTTTTCAATGTATACTATGTATTTACACAAAAAAAACAAAGTATTTATATCTGTTGTGTAGTACACATAACACAAGTTATGCTTAATTTGAGAATAGATGGCACTGAATTGTCCTCAGATATTATTAATATTGTTATAGATAAATAAGACTGTTCACAACATATAACAATAAGTTTCCTTTATAGATACGAATATTTATAGAAGGGCGGAAGTGGACTGTTACTAATATACCATGTTAGGTTGACATCCATGAGCTTCCACCTGGAAATCTTCGTGATAAATGCCTGGTGAATTTGTCACGATGGGTTAACTAGACCTGACCTGATGCTCATCCTATCATACTCCACTGATGCCCCGCCAGCGTAAACCATTTACGCAGACGGGTGCACCATTTCATTATCAACTAATAAAAAAAAATATATAGCAATACAATTAATAAAGTATACCAACCTATAAAAAATGCTAAGTAATCATCCACTCCTAAATTAGGAGTATTATAACTTAAACTATTATAAACAACACCTAACACGACCCAATTGAAAGTCAAAATAAAAAACTTCTTTCTGATGTTGGGATATCTGAATATATCCAAGAGGGACGCTTTACAGTCCCCCTCAGAGTTCTGTTCGTCCAGGCGTTTATTCTCAATAATGTCTTCTTCTGCATACCCATCCCTTACTAAAATTTTATTCATAAGTTGTATTGACTTCCTTCTTAGCGTACTCGCCGGAGATTTCACATATTCATCAGTCTGCGTGGACTTTTGTTTTGATTCAGAATTGATTTGAGATTCTTCATTTACAATTTCATCTTTTACTTCTTCCTCTTTGACACTTACTCTGTTTTTTAATCTTGCCTTTTTATTCACTATTTCTGCAACTTCAAGAGCTATCATTCTTTCCATGCTGTCTCCTTTAATACTTAACTCTGCTTCTGTAATTCTAGTAAAATCTTGTCTAAACGAAAGCATATTACTAATTCTTCTGTCTATATATTCATCTTTATCGGGATAGTCTTGATAATTTGCAATATATCCGTTTGCATTGGAGGTAATTGTAAGTTCTTCTGCCGCATTCTCTTCTGCCTTTATTCTTTTCTGAAAGTACACAGTAATCATTTATATATTATTTATATAAAAAACTTAGTATTCTCAACATTGTCAAATTGTTGTTATTTTATTTTTTAATAATATCATTCTAATGTACAAAGTTCTCATGTCACAGTGTTAGTTGCCATACGCCTAGGTTGTTATATATTTTTATTGCTCGAAGTGATAAGGATGCTCCACCCAAAAAAAACATTTTGGATTTTTGAACTATATTTTTTTTTATACTATACTATATTTATATGGTATATTCTCGCGACATCGTCCGAATTTAACTTTTTTTTGAAAATAAAATAAATTGTTCTAAAATAAAAGTAGCCTAAGTAACTCCTTATTACATCAGCTACCTGCCAAAAAAACTCCCGTCAAATTCGGTCTAGCCATTTCAGAGATTAGTTGGAACAAACAGACAGACAGACAAAAATTGTAAAAAATGGTAAGTTGGTGTATGTACGGTATTTATATTCATATGCACGTAGTAAAAAACGGTTATTTCAATGTTACAAATAGACACTCCAATTTTATTTATATGTATAGATAACATTAATAATTTAAATCTAACCCACGTCATGATCATGTAGTAAATACATTATTATAACATTGTTTCTGTGAATGTGAAAAAATACTCAGACAAAATAACATTGGATTATTTCTGGAAAATCTATTTTAATATATATTTATACAAAACTCGCTATTGTACTGTTATTTAGTTCAATATTGGTTATTTTGGACCAGTTCTAAATACACGTGTAAACTATACATCATTCAACAAAATTAAGTATCCAATACGAAGTAAACGTACAATTCCGAGGTTAATTTTGAAATTCTCAAATTCATACCTTTCTGTACAGGTTTTTCTTGCAAAAACAAATTATTTTTTTGCCCTACCATATATACTTTTAAGTGCATTTAATGAAAAGCGGTTAATTTGAATTTTTACAGACACTTAAATTTTATTAGCAAATGCCTTAAACGAAATTTAAGAAAAACTTTCTTCTGTGTAATTCTACATTAGTACTGAGTTATATATGATGTATTTTATTTAAAAAAGTTCGAGATCTCTATAATAATTAGTCCAGTGAAAATCGAAGTAGGTCCTTTTACATTACAAGCATGCAAGCTACAAAAATAGCCACAAAAATGTAATATAATGTGAACAGCAGAAATAAATCTCTTTTCTCTTCAGCTTGCTGTGCCCAACTGGGTCCATAATTGATCTACTTTGAATTTAACAGCCTACTGCTTATTGTAAAAGTTATGGAATGCAAAGCTTAAATTAATAAATAAATCTGTCAATAACTACATGTATTTCAATAAGGAAGCCTCGATGCAACGTTATGCCGTTCTTTTTAGCAAGATGCCTTAGAACTTTCTCTGCTTCCGCTATACGACCTCTGCTTACAAGCCATCTTGGAGATTCTGGTATAAGCCAATAATACCTGGAGCAGAAGATTTCATAATTAATACCAGTTCTGGAAAATAATGTTCTCAATTAGTCTCAGTAATCATAGACCATCCTCTCTCTCTCACACATACACACACACACACACATATACGCCTAATGCTTACACATATACATATCAAATACAGGCATAGGTTCTTTTTGTTTTGTACCTTTTTTGTGGTTTCTTTCTTTTTGTTTATAAGTTAAATTTTCTTTGTTTTGGTAAATTTAAATATTTTGCAAATTTTATTAGACAATACGTGATGGGTAAAGACATTGCAAGTATTTTTTTATTTTCTGGAATTATATATACTAGGTGGAGGACGTCGATATTAGCAACACAGTTTTATACTTCTGTGAATATCATTGTTTCTTCAGTAAATTAGTACAATTTTTTTCTGTATTAAGTAAATAAATAAATTAAAAAATGCGCCATGTTGTCCTATCATAAGTACAAGTAGAGCTTGTGTTATAAGTACTAGATAACTGATATAAATATATAATTTTTTTTGTGAAGTAGTAGCGATCTACTGTATGAGGAGTCGTGACTCATTAAGAGAGAAATTCAAAGAGGCAAATATTCTCACCGTTGCTTCTCAATTTATATATTCAAATATCCTATATGTTCATAAAAATCTTGACTTATTTCCAAAAGACAGCAATATTCATAATATTAATACTAGATTTAAAGACAAACTTGCTGTCCCCAAGTATCGTTTAGAAAATCAGTCAATAGGTCTTTTATGGGAATAGGTATAAAAATTTACAATAGAAAAAGAATATACTGGAATTACCCTTAAATAAATTCAAAACAACTGTTAAATCATATTTACTGAGCAAAGCCTCACGTACTAAGCAAAACTCACTAAACGATTACTTGAATGACGAGCATGGCAATAGTTGTTCATGCACGGGATTAATTTCATTTAATGTTAGGCATACACACCTATATATATACACTAGCTTTTGCCCGCGGCTTCGCTCGCGAAGTAGTAAGTATTATTATTAATTAGGTGTAGTTTTTGCGGCTTCATTTTTACAAACTTTCATCCCCTATTTTATCCCCTTAGGGTGGAATTAATCAAAATCCTTTCTTAGCGGATGCCTACGTCATAACATCTACCTGCATGCCAAATTTCAGCCCGATCCGTCCAGTGGTTTGGGCTGTGCGTCGATAGATCACTATGTCAGTCACCTTAGAGTTATATATATTTAGATTGTAAATAAACTGGCTTTTAAAAAAATAAAATAAAATATTCAATTGAGTTTCTTGCCAGTTCTTTTCAATTGGATCCATATACTGAACTGGATGGTAGAAAAAAATTAAAATTATAATGTAAAAAAATTGACGTTCATAAGCGGCTACTATGCCCTACATAAAAAATTTTTTTAATTTGAATTTGAATTAATATTTACAGTAAATTCTTTTTCATGAGCAGATGTAATATTTTAGTCACCGGTACAGTGTGATGTTATCGTCTCTGCGGAGGGTCCTGATTAGACATCAGATTCCAGTAACCTACGCCTTTTAAGACAACGTATGCTGACGGGGACTATAGTTGGTCGGTCAGCACATTGAGATGATTTACTATTTTTTTTTTTTATTTGGGATGTTTGGGCTATTGTCAGATGTGTAGCACCTGTAGCACTGCGACCTACGAATGATTTACTAGCCGTGTCTTGTAATTGGAGCAGCAGCGCTGTATCAGCTGCTGTGCTTGTATTGAGATACTCATGAATTCAGATGTTTGAATGTCATATTTCAATTTTTAGTTGTAGAAAATCTTGTAGTTACAACTAATTAACGAAATTGTATAACGTACCCATATAAAACCACAAATGGTAAACTCGTGGCAAGTGATAAGTAGAACCAGTCTCTGAATGTATACGCTAATAGCGACAGTAAACACATGCCGCTGGCGAACAACATCCCAACAACGATACCTGAAACATACAAAAATATTTAACACTTGTTTCAGTACAAAAATACTAATATTATAAATGCGAAAGTAACTAACTGTCCGTTGCGGTTTCACAACGCAACTACTGGAACGATATAAATTAAATTTGGTACATTTGTGTAGTCTAAACCCTGAGAAAGAACATAGGCTACTTTTTAACGCGAAGAAAATTTTAAGGGTAGAAAGGGGAGATGAAAGGTTGTATATAATATCGGCATTTTTAAATCTAGAAGCTTCAAACCTATTTTTTATGCTATTGATTAAATATAAATAAATAAGACAATCAAACTTTGTAAAGAAAATACCCTTAAAATATAAAAATTGGGGATGAAAGTTTGGGCGGAAATTTGTCATTTCTTAAACTATTACGATGAAACTTTTTTCTTTGGGTTTATTTGATTAGATTATTATTTTTTTTCTTTGGGCAAAGCCACTATTCCACGAAGATGAAGATATTGTCCTGAGTCACCCTCTTTTGTTGAATTGCAATCGTCAACATTGGTTTTCGCCATAATCGCTCAACTTGTGATCTTTTTGTGTATCTCAGACACGGTTGGGCCTTTGCCATCGACAGTAAAGGTGAGGCGTTAGCAGTTATTAGCCTTGATATAGCGAAGGTATTCTATCGGGTGCTAAAACATCCAACACAGTTTCTCTCATAGGAAGTACTACTTGATAATTTTTTCTATATACGGTTTTTCATGTATGACAATGGAATGTTGCTCCCGTCTGTGCTAACGGTATATTTTGGCGGGGCGCCAGTGGAGAATAATGGATGGAAGGATGGGCATGAGGTCATTTTGGCAAATGTACATTTATCACGATTGTTTTCAGGGGTACCGTGTTGTATATCTGGTACATTGCTAGTAATGGGGTTAGTCCACATTATTAACAATCCCCTTCCGGGCTTCCTATATAGATTGTGAATTATTCTAAATCTGCGGCTTTAATTTGCAAACTTTTTGATCTCTAGATTAGCCATGCTGGTCAAACTACTTGCGATGGTTGCGGGTCCGATTCCTCGCACGAAAAATATGTATGTATTTCTATTTGTTATTAGCTGTTCCCGCGACTTCGTCCGCGTGGTATTTAACTTTATTTTTCTAAAATAAAAGTATAGCCTAAGTTACTCCTTATTCATGAGCTACCTGTCAAAAAAGTCCCGTCAAAATGGGTCCAGCCATTTCAGAGATTAGCCAGAACAAACAGACAAAAATTGTAAAAAAAATATTTTGATGTATGTACCGTATTTGTATTCATATGCATGTAGTAAAAACTGGTTATTTTAATATTACAAACAGACACTCCAATTTTATTTATACATATGTATAGATTTAGTACCCATAACACAAACTCTGCTTAGCTTGGTACTAGATGGCGCTGTCTGAATTGTCCTGAGCTATTATTATTATATATCCTAGTTTAAAGTTTTCTTACCAGTGTAAGTCCTTCTAGGAGTCGGCATAAGTTCCAGGGCCAATACAAATGGAAGCTGATACAGTGCCGGAAAGAATAGTCCACTGACAACCCTTACAGCTATATAGCTCCAATATGATGTTGGGAAAGATGCTGCAATCGCCAGAGGAACTTCTAAATAGATCATAAGTAATATTGTAGGTCGCCGACCATACCTGGAACGTCACATAAGTATTTAAGATAAATAAGTGTTTGAAACAAATTGTTTAGTGTGATGAGGGAAATTTAGACTTTATTTTTAGAATAGGTGGTTTATCTATGAGATATGATTATATTGCTTAATCATAAGAAAGGAAAAGAATATTTGTTGATATGAAATATATTGTTTGTTCACAGGCAAAGAAAGAAATTTTATTTATATTAGACATACTCTTGCTTAGGAAATACTCTTGCTTCAGATTATATTGTTTGTTCATAGGAAAAGAACAAAAAAAAATTGTTTATATTAGAGATATATTCTTGTTTGAGAACTCTAGATTTGTGAATGATTTTTAACATATAAGAATTTCTCTATTTCATGGAGATATTTGGGAGGCCTTTGTTCAGCAGTGTACCTCATCCGGGCTGAGATGATGATGATGATGTAGGATTTCTAATAAGATCTACCACATAAATTATTGATATAATAAATTACATTTGCATCTCTGCTATACATGAAATGCGAGATATACAGGGTTCTCTAAAATTAAAATTTCTCAATTTCATGCGTCTAAGTACTATTCTACAGAAATATAACTAAAGGATCAAAGGATCAAGCATGACTATTAAGCTAATGAGCTATTAATGGATCTATATATTGGATGAAAAAATAAAATTATAATGTAAAAATTTGACATTCATAAGTGGCTAAAGTGTCCTACATGAATAAATGATTTTTGAATTTTGCTATATTGGATGTTTATGAATTATAACGAGTCTGCAATACATATCTTAAATTGATTAGTGAATAATGCATTATTCATTGATAATTGAAGCAAAAACTTTGTAACCCTTACTACGAAAATATAGCATTAACAGAAGAATATAAAATTTCAGACACTATTCATACAGAGGAGTGCAGAATGCTAGTACTATAAAAATACATCAAATCAATAAAAAACATTAAACACACTATCATGTATTTCGACGACCTCGGTGGTCTAGCGGTCTAGCACACCGCTTTACGTCCGATGGTCGCGGGTTCGATTCCTTGCACGGCACAAACATTTGTATTCATGAGTATGATTGTTTGCATCGGTCTGGCTGTTTTCTATGTACATTATGTGTGTATTTACAAAACAAATATATCTATGTATTTATATCAGTTGTCTAGTACCCATAACACAAGCTTTAGCTAGGTTAACTTGGGTCTAGATGACGCTGTGTGAATTGTCCTGAGATTATTGATTATTTGACACACAGTATATATGTATATATATATGTTAAATCTTTAACAATAAACAAAGAGTATATAGCCCTTTTTGTCAAATTGAGAATAAATTAGTAAAGGTCAAATTTCAACCACTAGTATCATTAAATGCTTATAATATAATATAATAATACCCTTTATTTGCTGTTAACATTACAAATTTACAGCAGTAACTGTGGTCCTGTTAGTATATAATTTAGTAATTTTATTTTTTTTCGTTAAACACTTACTAATATGAATCAAATCTTAAATCACAATATTCCACGTCTATTCAATAATTTAGCTGCTCAATTCTGTATACTTCAAACTGAAATATACTATTCTGATGATAATGGAATTGTCCACCCACCTCTAGTAACGGTTTATGCTGCTGGGGCACCAGTGGAGCATTTTAAAATTAATATGAGGTCAGATTAGTTACACCCTTGTGACATTTTTTTACCAGTAATTTATCTTGATGATTTTCAGGAGACCATATAGATGGAAGCCTAATGAACCCACTGCTACCAATGTATGGTACATTGGTAGGAATGTGTTCATTAGTCCACATTATTAAAAATACCCTTCCCCCTCGGTAGAGTGGTGTGACACAATTCCAAATCAAATTCTCTTTATTTAGGCAACACAACTTTTACCACAAACATGCTACTGTGTACCATAGATTGGTAGGTGTTTAAAATTCCCACTGCAATTTGAGTTATATTCTAGCAAATATCTCTGATTAAAGTAAAAAAGTCAGCTTACCTGTCCGACATCCATCCAAATATTAAATTGCCAAATATTGAACCAACCCAGAATAAAGTATTTGCTGTTCTTGGTAACCAGTCTTTATCACAGACTAAGGAAAACTGGAAAATTAACAAAAAACAATACATGAACATAGTTCTCACAGTTAGTAGTAGTTAGTATCTTATTGTTACTCTTTCTATCAACACAAAGGTAGTCTGGAAGAGACTGTTTAGCAATAAGACTGCCTTTTATATCAGTTAAGATATATTTACTATTTTTTTTGTTTAGTAAATGGTGCAAAATAAATAAATAAATAATATAATGTATTATTTAATATATAAATAATATATTACATTTATGTCTTCATAAAACTGCTAATAATAACAGCCTTCATGAAGCATAGCATTCATGAGGTAAAGTAAAAATACATGAAAAAATAAAATATACATATGGAGGTGACTTTATGTGCCACAAAGGTGAAGAGGCAACCAACTCAGCATAAACCTGCAGTGCTGATATTCTGTTGGCTCCTGTATTTATACTACTAATACTTATTACATATATATAATAAACTTAGACTTCTTTCATAGGTGAAAGCAGTTACAAATCATCAATAATATATAACATAATTGCAGACTTAGTTGGACTTATCTGACTTTCTAATAGTCATATATTTTTTAATCTACCACTCATTTGGAACACAGACTCATTAACAGTAAGAATTAGCAAAAACTTGGGTGTTGCTTGTTTAAATGTTCAATATTACATTTTTAACACTTTGTGTGAATATAAACTGCCAAATACCTGTTGACATAGTGAATAAATAGTTACTTGACTATCAAAGCAAATAATAATAACAAATCAGGCATAGTTACCGGAGCAGATCAGTCCCTACAAGCACCACATATTGTGTTAAGGAAAAGTATAATAATTTAACGATAACATGCACAAAATTAATGTAAATATTTATTTATTACACATTTTTATAGATACCGGTATGTAAATTCTTGCATCGATTTTGGGACTGCATAAAAATGCACCCAAACAACTTCTACTTTTTATACTTTAAACTCACTAATTATAATAAATAAACAATAATATTTGAACGAAGTAATTGCATTTCCATAATGGTTCGGCGCGAAGTAAGCGCATTTGAAAATATTAGTAATTATTTTTTTTGTTCAGTCTTTTCCGTCACAGGAAAAGGCAAAAGGATACGTCCTATACAGCCATTGTCTTTTGTAGTATGGATTTTTTTTTGTTTCGGTTTTTCTCGTTTCAGGGAAAGGGAGTATAAGTATAAGTGGAATACTTAATTATTTAGGCCATTTTGTCATAGGCTGATAATGACATTTATAAATATGGATTGTTTTGGATTTTAGAGTTCTAAGTTGTGATGATCATTACGTGATTAACCATTTTCGCTCTGGTTTTTCCAGCAATAGGTAAATAAATATTATCCTGATGTGGTTTCCTTTAGGTATTACTTTTTCTTAATAATAGTGAAGATGAAGCATTGGCTGTGATTACTTGGTATTTAATTGGTCAATTATCTATGCCCTGCTAATTCCTTCATTATGCATCTTGACTAACCATGCATGGTGCATGGTTTTATTTGATATTACTTGATTAATATTATTAAATAAATAACGTGATATTACGTACCTCAGTAACTAAGGTCCTTTGGTAATGCTCAGTGCTGTACCGCCAACCATTCGTGCATACTGTAGTAGAATTCTCGCTTCTTAACTTTAATATTGAATCTTCTATGTCAGATATCTATGTACAATTTAAAACATCATTTTAATTATTATAATATAGTTGACGATGGGATTTCATCAATCACCAAAGTTTACCACATCGCCGTTTATGGGTTTGATTCCTTGCACGGTAATAACATTTGGAGTCATGAGTATGATTGTTTGTGTCTGAGTGCATATTACATAACACTAGTTGGCCCAGTAAACGTTGTTTTGTCATATAAATTAATAACGCTATATAAAAATAGGGGTTGGTGATAATAGCCGATTCCCAGACCTACTGAATATGCATGTAAAATTTCATAAAAATCAATCGAGCCGTTTGGGAGGAGTATGGTAACTAACATTGTGACCCGAGAATTTTATATAAGTATAAGATATTATTTGTGTATTTACAAAAAAAAAATTATCTGAATTTTTATAACAGTGGTTTCATACACATAAAATAAGCTTTACTTAACTTGGGACTAGGTGATTCTGTGTGAATTATACTGAGATATTATTATAATTATTATCTATCCACGTTATACCATCCTTTTACCAAGTATCTACAAGGCAAGTCCTAAAGGGTTTGTTTGTAACACTTTATTGTACAGGAAATACATTTAAAATGACAGGATGTAACAATCTTAAGAAATAAGTTGTTACATCTTTTTGTCACAGCGCCTTCTGATGGTCGCAGATTCGATTCCTCGCACGGCACAAACGTTGTATTCATTATGATTGTTTGTATCGGTCTGGGTTTTCTATGTAAGTAGGTATGATATGTATGTATTTACGAAAAAAAAATATATTTATGTATTTATATCAGTTATCTATCCATAAAATTAGCTAGCTGAACTTCGGTTCGGTGTGTGAATTGTCCAAAGAATATTATTATTATAAGTTTACAATGACGGACTTATTACAAGTGAGGTATATCTTCCAGTCAACCTTTGAATGACTGAAGGGAATTGTGGAGTGGTGGAAATAGATAGGTATACATAAATTATAAGTATTGAAATGGTAAGTAAGACTGAATACTTATGATTTTGATGAAAACTTTCTCTACAAGAAATAAAGCGGTAATCCGAAAATATATGTTCAAATTTTTATTATTAAATTGGTCACGTGATCACGCAATTTGAAACTAGCTGTACCGGCTACTACGTCCGCGTGGAATTTAACTTTATTTAATAATAATAATATCTCAGGACAATTCACACAGCGCCATCTAGTCCCAAGCTAAGCAGAGCTTGTGTTATGGATACTAGACAACTGATATAAATACATGGATACATTTTTTATTGTAAATAAATACATATTATACATAGAAAACACCCAGACCGATACAAACAATCATACTCATGAATACATATGTTTGTACCGTGCGAGGAATCGAACCCACGACCATCGGATAGTAAAGCGGTGTGCTAAACCACTAAACCACTTAGGCTGTCATTCTTTTTCTAAAAGGAAATATTTTTTCTAAAATAAAAGTAGCCTAAATTATTCCTTATTACATCAGCTACCTGCCAAAAAAGTCCCGTCAAAATCGGTCCAGCCATTTCAGAGATTAGCCGGAACAAACAGACCGGCAGACAGACAAAAATTTTAAAAATGTTATTTTTGGTTTATGTACTGTATTTATATTCATATGCATGTACTAAGAAACGGTTATTTCAATATTACAAACAGACACTCCAATTTTATTTATATGTATAGATGTATAGTTTTTAAATATTAGATATTTGCATATTTTCACTATGTTTCTTTGAATTTCTTTAGTTTCATAAATACAATCACAGGCATTATATTATTACGATTAAATATACGGATACATTTCAGGAGCCGTATTACGATATGCGATTCTATCGACGATATTACACACTAGACGATTTTTAATCTTTGATATTTATAATTAGTCATCATGTTCAATCGTAATAAACATGAGGCGATATGTATTTGATATTTTTATCATCATTAAATATCACTATAACAATAGCTGTGGCCGCGACTTCATCCGCGTACAATAGTGACCTTGGAGACAAATTTTAATTATTCTACAAATAAAAAATGCATAATATTCCATTCCATGCAATACAAAATTTCATTTTATTTTACCCCCTTAAGGGTAAAATGTTTACAAATTTTGTATGTATGTCATATTTATTTATATTTAATAGATTAAGAAAAAAGGTTAAGCTCCCAGCTTTGAAAAAAAACGATATTTCCATATAACTTTTTATCTTTACTTTCAACTAGCAACTGTCCTTTCTCAGGGTCTATCTAGACTATTTGTGTGTCAAATTTCATTTAAATCGGTGGAGTAGTTTTGGGGTGAAAGCGAGACTGACAGAGTTAGGTACTTTCGCATTTATAAGGAGGAGTATAGGTTCGCAAGGATTGAAATATTAAGAATTATTATTGTTATTGTGATTAATGTACATAAAGAACTTTAATATCTTGCATGCTACTTTCTTTTCTACAGAACTTTCTAATTGCGAAGCATAAATATATTATTTGCACTACTCATGGTCGACTGGTAATGATCAATATTATTGATTATCTACTAGTTGACCTTAATACATAACGATTCGAAGGTATTAAGTCCGTCATATATATTCATACTTACAATTTGTATAATCTACATATTATTATGTTTTTTTACACAGCTTGTGTAAAAAACATGTAACTAAACAGAACTTAATAGTATTAAGTTCTGTTTATTCAGGAACTAACAGGATTGATATGTGTACTAAACAACTGATAGAAATAATTAAATATTTTTTCTGTAACTCTTGTAAGCGTGTATTGAAATAGTAATTGATCGATCGATATATGATTGAAACTATTATTGTGGGACTATCAACGTATCTACTGGTGCCCATATTGGGAATGATCTGTAGATTAAAAAATAAATTACGATTATTCAAATGTGCTGAAATTAAGTTTAATTGAATAAAGAATTTTTCTATTCCATTCTATGAGGTAGGAGATGATAATAATTAAAAAAAAAGTTCCACCAAACTTGAATGTGTTCAAATACGTGAAGCATTAAGTAATATAATGCAAAAAATATTAGGGGGAAAGGGATTGTCAGTAACGTGGATTAATAACCCCATTGCTATCAATATACCACGTCAGGTTGAACGTCACGCGGTTCCTGGAAACCATAATGACCTGATCTCACGCTCATCTTATCATCTTCCACTGGTGCCCCGCCAGCGTAAACCGTTAGCGCAGGCGGGTGCACCATTACTTTATCATCCATAAGAAAATATGCAAAAATAACTATTACGAACAGTTCGTATAAAAAACTGGTGTCTGAAATAGGTCAGAAAAGGACTCGGATATATTATGTAGTAGCTGAGCCGCGTAACTTTTGACCAATTTACATAATATCTTTTTAAATTATAACCTATGTATTATATTATTGTGATATATGTATAAGTTATATTACTGTAAAGTTTCATCAAAATCAGTAATCATAAACTTTCGCATTTATAATATTAGTAAGATGTATTTAGAAAACTCACTTACTTGAATTCTGCGTTTATCTTCGTCTTTGGCTGGCAACAGCTGGCGAATTGTAACCAGCCGCATCCCTTCGCCTTCGTACACATATTTTGTACTGAAAATTATAATAATATTATGATAACTTAAATTGATAATTTAGTATTGTTCTCATTATATATTATTGTTGGATAAATAAAAATATTTATTAATTTAAATTAATAAATTCATGTATTATTTATAATTCCCGTGTAGATGTTATAAATAAAACACCTCCGAAGAGGCTTGACTAATTCTTATGAAATTTCGTGTGAATCTCCCTCTTGAATTACTATTTACTACCTATAATGTAATGCCGAAGTGAAAAAAGTGTATAAAATTCGTTGCCGAATTTTACCGGCGCGGTATATATGCAAAGAATATACAAATAATAATAATCTCATGATAATTAACATAGCCCCAAGTTAACTACCTACAGCTTGTGTTATAGGTACTAGACTGAACTTTTATCATAAATATATACATATATTATACGTAGATAACACCTAGACCAATACAAACAATCATACTCATGCATACAAATGTTTGTGCCGAGCAAGAAATCAAACCTGCGACCATCGGTAAGACGGTATGCTAAACTGCTGGGCCACAGAATCCTTCAAATATCTAAGTAGGAGATGCATTCGATTGCATTAAAGTGATTAACGATATTGCTATGTGATTACCGATTATATAGCAACATCATTAATCATTGTACATTATTGCGTTGTGTACTATACTGTAGATAAAATGCATATATCAGTTAATAACTTAGTAAATATTATGACTACACTTGAAATAAACAATGACGAGATTGAGAAAACAGCTAGCCGTGTAATTACACGTGTCCAGTCTATATGAACAAGTACGCAATAGAAACCGGATTAAAATAGAAACTAGATAGATAATTTATTTGCTTCAACATTTACAACAATAGTACAAATGTTCGCCTCATATTCAGGGGGCATGCAAATTACAATTCATAACAATTACAATTAAATTACATTATAAATAAGAATATCAGATGTCAGGTCAATTCCCGCAAAGAGTAACAGCATTTTTTAAGGAGCCATTGGTGTAATTCTTTTTTAAATCTATTTAACGGCATCTCTCGAATTACGTGTGGTATTTTATTATATATTTGTATGGAACTGAAGTGTGACTTAATTTTTTGCAAGTTAGTTCTACACGGTGCCATTTTTAATTTAGTAGGGTCTTTTTGTGTAAATTTGCTATTATTGTTTATTTTGTCATATAAATATGGGTTTTTTTTTTACGAATATACCTGTTTCATAAATGTACATGGCAGTATCAGTTAACACTCCCATTTTTTTTAATTACGGTCTACATGAGTGCAATGGTCAAAACTAAATTCAATAATTGGTTACTTTTTGACTTGCAAAGTCAGTAATCTATATATTCATAATAATAAAGTGAAAACTTTGTCCTCCTTTTTATGAAAAGTGCGGACGGAGGAGTTTTAAAGTTGAGAGTGCACTTACTAGATTACCAGCTGTACCTATGAGTTATTCTGATGTACAAGCTATGTTATGGTATAGTTTCATAAAACATCCATCCATCCATCCATCTACCCATATATGTAAGATACAATGGAGTGCAGAATGCTGCTAATGTTTGTTAAAAATTGTGCATATAAAAACATTAAATAAATAAAAAAAACATTACACTACCATGTGTTTGTCACACACTTGCATATACTCTTTTGTTTATTGTCTGTACGACCGCCCGTGCCTGTACCTACATATTGACGACCTCGGTGGACTAGCGGTCTAGCACACCGTTTTACGACCGATGGTCGCGGGTTCGATTCCTCGCACGGCACAAACATTTGTATTCATGAGTATGATTGTTTGTATCGGTATTTTCTATATATAATATGTATGTATTTATATTTGTATCAGTAATCTAGTACCCATAACACAAGCTTTAGCTAGCCTAACTTGGGTCTAGATGGCGCTGTGTGAATTGTCCTGAGATTATTAATATCGTTCAAAGTTATAATTAAAATTCATTATGAGTTTCAATCACTAGTTATTTCTTATTATTCTTGTAGTATAGTAGTTTAATAACGCATACCTAATAATACATCACAGTAATAATGTTGTTGTTGTTGAAGTTACGTATATATAACTTTGGTGGCAAAGTTATATATAAAAAAAAGTCATTTATTTTTTATTGTTTTTATATTTGTTTTTCTTCTGTTCTGAGTTGGTTGGTTATTCATCTTTGTTTTGTGCCTCATGTATGGTGTATGTTTGCAATTGGTGAATAAAGTTATTATATAATAAATTTATCTATTTATACAGCAAGCTGCTTGTCAGTAGAAATAGATGACACACCCACCCATGAACATGTATTTATTAAATGTCTATCTTAGTTTAACCTTTACCTTTCTTGAACATAGTCACTGAGTTCTTCATACAATGCCTTCGTGTCGATGCTGTATGCTTTGCAACCTTCGTATATGTCATGCTGCCTTGGTATTATGAGAGAACGGAGCTGACCATCCGGCAGCCCCAAAGCCTCCAGCTCTTGTGGAGGAGCACACCAATGTTCTGGTGAGGCATTTGTGAAAACCTGAAATAATCTATACAATTAATTATATTTAAGTGACTGTTTGTAATTTCGAATTAATAATTTTCATATGAATGTACATATTACTTAAATTAAAAAATAATTTAATAATTTTTTTTGATCTATCTGTCTGTTTGTTATTGCTAATCTCTGAAATGGCTGGACGATTTTGACGGGACTTTCACTGGCAGATAACTAATGGTAATGAAGTGACTTAAGCTACTTTTATTTTAAAGTAACCTCGGTATTTTTATTAATCGTATTGGACGCATAATTTTGTTGATTGATGTGTCTACGGGGACGCAGTCACGAGTAACAACTAGTAGCTAATAGTAAAGTTATTTATTTACCGTAAAACTTCATGCTATTATAATACTTTAAGGGATAGTAAAAATTATTGGAAGTCTCAAAATTGAAGAAAAAGCAACACTATCTCTTCTTTATCTTTGTATCTGTCGTTAGACCACCACTGTCTCTGGAATTAATTCGGTATATTGCCGTTCATTTCCATCTCCTGAGAGTTAGATATATTGAAAGATTTGCTCACTGAACAATTTACAATTTATATCTATTTAATATTAAATTCATTTAAATATTTAACCACACAACTATTTTCCTAAGTAAATGGTGTCTTGGTAACTTTTGCTATCCAATTTATTGTCCATATTGAGCTCCATTAGTTCCGAGCTCCAATACTTAGTAAATAGTTCCAAATCAACTACTTAAGTCTCATCTACATTTTTCATCGGATAAGCATTGCTGCTTTGTAACCTGTGTTTTGATTGTAGGATCAAATTAGGCACTGTTTAATTAAAGAACAAGCATGATATCTTAGTCCTCTGGAATTGCAACACAGAAATGGTATTAAGGTTGTTCTATGATAACATGATGTCTGTAATTCTATTGACGATTACCACTTACCAAGTGGGCCTCAGTTTGTTTGCCATTCCATTGCTACATACGACCTTTTTGTAGGTCGTAAGGCTATTACGACCTTAGCAGCAACAAACTTAGTTTTAATAACATATTTTAAGGTAGAAGTATAGTCCTTTATCCTAAGTAGATAAGTGCATAGGAGGTACCTACTAGTATACCTGATAATGCTTCGTTATACAATTAAAAACAGAATGTACTTTTAAAACAATAAAGTTAAAGAAAAAATAAAACACCTGAGAGAAAATTAAGAAAGAGGTAGGTATTGCCGCCAATCCGCACAGTAAATAAAACAGAAATACATGCCACCAGCCCCTCTTTGTGGCAAGTATGGCAGCCTCGTCCAATTCCGTGGTCCAAGTCATGTCGTCACCTTAGAATTATTGGCATAGACATTGGATACACAAGTCCATAATGTAACATTTGTATTACATACATTTTAACAGAGTTAAATATATTTATAACTGTATTATTTTGTTTTAATTAAATTCACACGAGTATACATATTTCAGTCACATTATAAAGAAATATTAAGTTTTATTTACGACACATACAACTATTTTCAAAAAACGATACCAAGTTTTAATTAGTTACACGTTAATTTGTTTTGTAAAACACTTGTAATTTAATGTAATTTTTTTATTTAACTATAATAACTACTTAGAATATCAAAAAGAATATTTATACAATTTATTTTTAAAAAGGAATGAAAACTTTTCGTTCATAGATGTATTTTTATAAAGATGCACGCACTGCGTAAAAACGATAAACAAACTTTATAATATGTTCACTGTATTATTCGTATATTATTATTTAAACATTATTGTACGACTATATTGAATAATGTTGGTATATCGTCGCACTTGTCCGTTCATTGGCCGGCCTGGTCTAATACTAAACTATACGTCGCTACAAACTAAACAATTGTCATAGATTATAAACCGACCGTTTGATATTTGAGTACGATGCAGTTTTATTAAAGCATTTGATATCGTCGCGTTATACTACACTAGCTCTCCGCCCTGGCTTTGCACGAGTGCAGGCACGTGTATTATTACGTTCTCTTCAATAAGTCTATATTACTGAAATTTGCATTAAAATTCGTTGCGTAGTTTAAAAGATCTAAGCGTACAGACAGAGGGAACAACTTTGTTTTATGCTTTTTTTTAATTGAAATAAAAAAAAACCCGCGTAAGGACTTATGGAGCGGCTGGCTGAAGGCCAACTCCTATTCTAACGGATAGAACTTTAGCGTGAGGGCATGGCTAGGGGTTCGAACCTCAGGCCATCATAATTTCGATCGCCATTTGAATTAGACGGGGGATTGATCGAAGGGTAGTCCCCTTCTGATCTCAGTGAGATTATCTCAGAGACTGTCTATTCATTCTTATAGTTATTATTATTACAACAATATCTTAATCTTCTATTTTTCTTACACATATGTATGGCTGATCGAGTTAATACATTATCCTATAACATTTTCTGGGTTTGCTGGAAGAAATATCTTTTTAGAGATAAGCTCGCCTTTGTACATTACATTTATTGTATCACTGTTGTTTTCCTATGTTTGTGTGCAATAAAGAGAAAAAGTAATACAATTTAGTGATGGTAAAAAGTATACATAAGTCCACACACAAGGGGACTATTAGTAATAGACTGTTGACCCTATAGCCAGCAATGTCCCCCTGGAAACCACCATGAATTTTTCGTCGTGGTGAATATGTCATGATGGGCTAACTGACCTGACCTCATGCTCATCTTATCACCATTCCCTTAGTCCCCTTCGGGGAGTGGGGGAAGGTTGGAAGGGGACTGTTAATAATGTAGGCTGTTGACGCTATTGCATAATGTAGACTTGATCTTCATCATGCTCATCCTATAATCCTCCACTGGGCGCCAGTGTAAACCGTTAGCGTAGGCGGGTAGACCATTCCATTATCTATACATATAAATAAAATTGGAGTATCTGTTTGTAATATTGAAATAACCGTTTTTTACTACATGCATATAAATATAAATACGGTTCATACACCAATAAATAACTTTTAAAAATTTTTGTCTGTCTGTCTGTCGGTCAGTTTGTTCCGGCTAATCTCTGAAATGGCTGAACCGATTTTGACGGGATTTTTTTTGGCAGGTAGCTGATGTAATAAGGAGTAACTTAGGCTACTTTTATTTTAGAAAAGTAAAGTAAAATTCCACGCGGACTAAGTCGCGGGAACAGCTAGTCATCCATAAAAAAAGCAGTGCCTTCCCCTCATTGTCCATCTATTGTATCTTATCTTATCATTACGTCTCGTCTCAAACCACATTCCGAATCGGCGACAGTAGATTTCATTTGTCATAAGTAAATGACTTAAATTTTGTAAAAACAAGATATTTTGAATTGATTCGAAAATAATCTATGAATCACAATAGTTAACAGTTATATCAATATAATTAAATCAGTTTAATAATTATAGTAACAAAGATTAGATTACAATTCTTTATCAAAATATCACAAATTCTTAACTAGTTTCCATATGACTGGGTTAAGAATTTTAAGTACAATAAGTATTTTAATATTTATGAAATTGCTCTTTTTGCTAGTTTGTATATTATCGTCTACTCACATATATCTTATTAATATTATAAATGCGAAAGTTTGTGCGTATGGATGGATAGGTGGATGGATGGATGCTTGTTACTTATTAACTTTAAAGTAATATAGTTTATACATCGAATAACACATAGGTTATAAATTCAATGCGGGTGAATCCGTACGCACAGCTAGTATAATTATAAATTTAGTTGTACAGAAGACAAATAGAAATAAGCTATAATTTATTTCAATAAAGAATACGGTCACTTATTAAATTATTTCAAGTTCATAATAATGCAATAGAATAGAATAGAATAGAAAATCATTTATTCAAATAAACTTAATTTAAACACTTTTGAATAGTCATAACAATTTGTTTTTTATCTACCACTCGTTCGGAAAGCTGTCTCATCACTAGAAGAACGAGCAAGAAACTTGTGTGTTGCTCTTTTATATAGCATATACTAGTGGTCACTACAATCACTAACTAATGACCCCATTGCTATCAATGTACCCGGTCAGGTCGACCTACACGCGGGTCCCCCTGGAAATGATCGTGATAAAATCCTGGTGAATATGCTAATTGACCTGACCTCATGCTCATCTTATCATCAGCCACTGCTGCCCCGACTGCGTAAACGGTAACCTTAGGCGATGCACAATACCGTTATCATCCATTAAAAAAAGTGAATAAATTATAACCAAATTATAGCCAATATTAACGAACTAACAGGAGTAAGAAGAAAAATATACGAAGTTCGCAACAGGAGCTGCCTCAGTTGTTGCTGATATAAGCACAACCTCAATGAGATGCAACTAAAGAGCCCTGATTTCACAAAAATGCAATAGATATACTCATGGTCTCTCAATTAGGTCCAAAAAAAGGTCCAAGTTATAGTTCAGTAATCACATTCATGAAAGTGAACAAATTTACTTAGGAATGTAACTATAAATTACAATATAATTTATTTACTTATATAATTTAATTGTACAACTAAGATCTTAAAATTAAAACCTTAAAAGATATAAATATAATAACTAAAATATATTATTAAAAGGAGTCCCTTTAGGCAAAGTTCCGAAGATACTAGCAGCGTTCCCCCTTTGAAAGGCTAGATAAGGATTTCAAAATACATCTGTATTTTGGTAATTATAAGCTTATTTGATAAGTTTCTTGGCAGGAAAGCACTCCAACAAATTATAAGGGCATCCGCAGAGTACCAGCGTCATGGCAATTCGTCACGGCATATGCTGAGCTTAGAGCTTAGATTGTGTTTAACTTTGTTTATTACCAGTTGACCACGCAAAAGTTGTTTTTAAATATAAATTAAAATCGTTATTAAAAAATAGGGGTTGGGGATAGAAGGGTGATAGTTTAGTATTTTTAATGCCACTTTATAAAAAAAATACCAAAAAATAAATCACTTATGAAAAATAGATAGTAGCCGATTCTCAGACCTACTGAATATAAATATATTATATGCGTATTCATTTTATTTTAAAATTTCATGAAAATCGATTAAGCCGGTTGTGTGGAGTATGGTAACTAACATTATGACACGAGAAATTTATATATAAGATTATTATTATTGCTTGTATTGTAAATCGAATAAAATTCTTTATTGCTTTCTTGCTTTCTTTCAGTCATAATATTACCACGAGAGTCGTTCACAGCAAACGTGACTGTATCCATGCAAACCACTTTGAACAAAGTCTACTTCTAATGCAAAACAGTAAACATATAGTTCACGTAGACATGATACACAATCTCGCGTGCGTAAACAGTGAAGTACGTTAGTGATAAGGAAACAGAGGTCTGCTGGGTTCTGTTTGTCTGCACGTTATATGACCCCAAGCCAATAATAGCTTATACGTATTATTATAATCTTAAGTACCTGGACTAGTTGGCTTCGCTCGGCGTTTTATTTAATGGGAATCTATATTGCAATTTACAGGTTTGTCAGAATAACATGGAAATACACCACTGGGCAGCTTTGGACTTTATACAAAGACAATTTACTTTATAAATACCGACAAATAAACAAATGGGACTAATCCAATGGGAAATCAATCCACTCTTTCAAAATAATGAAAGTTATAAATGACGTAGTTACATCGTAACTAATCTCAGCACACAGCTCCAGTTATGTAGACCCAAGTGAAGCTGGCTAAAGCTTGTATAATGGGAATTAGATTACTGATACAAATACATACATATTTTTTCCATAAATACATACGTATTATACATAGAAAACACCCAGACCGATACAAGCAATCATACTCATGAAAGCAAATGTTCGCGAGGAATCGAACCCGCGATCATCGGAAGTTACGCGGTATGTTAAACCGCCGTTAAAAAGTATATAAAAAATGATGTTACAGTCATCTTTATTATTATAACGCAATTTATTCATAATCAAGACAGTACAACGTCTGTCGGGTCAGATAGTTAATTATATTTATAATCAAATTCCAAATCTGGGTGGGTTGATAAGATATAGAGATGCCGGATCACAGATTGTTATTTGCTAGACTGATAATAGTTACAACACAAGTTTCACGATAAATAGTTATGCTATTTATGTAGATCCTTAAAGTAACGAATTAAGAATATCTAAGTAGGTTTTGTACAAAGTGAAAACCATTCGTTCCTCCCACGATGCAAACATTTAGAATGGAATATCAAATTATTTATTGAAATAAGCTTAAATTTAAGCACTTTTGAATAGTAATACCACAGATAACATAATATTACATAGTAATACCACAGATAACATAATATTGTAATACTTACATATTATTTTTATCTATCGCTTATTCAGAAAGCTGTTTCCTGCACGCAAGTTTCTTGCTCGTTCTTCTTGTAATAAGTACAAGAAGAATGAAAAAGA